TCGTAAACAATGCTCTCGAGACTGGGCAGCGGCGTTTTGTGTGGGATCAAACGGTCAACCGGCTTCATCGTTCCGTTCACGCCCAGGCTCCTTGTCTCGAGGCTTGGCCTCGGCATAGTTGACCATGAATCTTGCGACATGTGCAGAAACTCGAGATTGCCGTCTTGTACTGATGCATGGCTTGAGGGGATCAACCTTTTGCAGGCAGGTAGCGAGCCTATGGTAGTGCTGTCGACATCGGACGCATTCGGCAGCCCACCACCACAACCGGCTTTCAGCTGCAACAACGCCTTTGCTACGCGGCATCTATCAGAATTGTGCCAATTTTCGTCGTCTCTGTAGATGGCGCTCCATGGCTCTTGGAAGCTTCTGAACGTATTTTTCACATTCACTTCGTCTTGTGTGTGTCCTCCCACCTCACCGCTACAACACTCGTAAACGCCTGAAAACGTAAGCTTTGTGCGTGATACACGCAGCGCCACGTTCACGAACCTCGCTGATTGTTACCAGAGATGGACGAAGGCTCGATGGATGCCATGGCGTCCGCGCGCGGGTCCATTGTCCGTCGGTGAGGCCTCGAATTCGGGAGCATCGAAAGCCGTTTTGGTACACACCTACGCGACGAATGGGCGGTGTCTCAAGCTTCTCGAGAGCTTGTCGTTCAGCCTGGTGAAACAGTCAACTCATAGTAACGAGGTTCAAAGAGAGGCCTTTTGACTACGACAAGTCTTACGATGTAAAATTCCAGACACGATACCAATATTGAAGAAAGCCGTTTGGTGTCAGCGAGTCGATAAGGGGTTCAATTCTGCATATGCCAGGCCAATTGGAAACTGGACGTCGTAACAAAGCCTGACCGACAACAGCCATCTCACATCATCTGCCTCTCAAGGCTCGCTCGGGGCATGGGGAAAAGCCCCGAGGCAGCGGATCATTCAGCCGCCATTGGAGAAAGCTTCCTGGCGGCCCATACACGGTGTTTGTTCTGCACTGTGCACATTGGTTAAAAACCAGGAGATCTTTAACAGAAGCAA